CGCGGGAGCCCGCGCGCGGGTGTGGGCTGGCCTGCCGGCGCCGCGACGCGGCCCGGGCGGGGGGGGGGACGCGCGCTCGCCGCCCCCGCCGGGCCCCGGTGCGCCCCAAACTCGCGCCCGGGCTCCTCGCCCGACCTGTGCAGCCCTCTACGGTGGGCGGAAAAGACGCGAGTTCCGCACAAAGTAGTTTTTCTCCATCCAGGCTCGGACTTCCCAGCCCCTAGGAATGATAGCAGTCTGACTTTGTGCGTTCAGAGATCTCAAAGGGACCGAAACTTAATTTTACTCTGATCTCAAGTGACGTGACAAATTCCTGAATTCTGGAGTATGGACTAAATTGGTTCAGGCGACCCTTGAAATGTCCCTCCCGCTTTAAAATGTCCTGACTTTTAGTACACCACTTAGTACCTGATGCTCTAGGGCTGAGTGAATGCAGTTCTGCCCCGGGATTGTGCAACCCAATCTAAAACTCCAATAGGGCAGAATGAATTTATTCTTGACTCCACTGGTAATTTGCCCATACGCTGAAATATGAGGGTTGATATTGTAATTGAATCCTTGGTTATTTACCGCAGATGGTTTATAAATATCTGTGCCCAACTAACTACTCTTTAGTAGCTGACTTCCTGTAACCCTGAGTTCAGCATTAAGTAAACATTCTCTTAGGTAGAGTCTTAATACTCTTGAGTTTAGAACAGCTAGGAAAGTCATAATTCCACATCTCCATGGGCAGGAAAAGAAGTTAAACAGTGTATATACGAATATTTAAATTTATTCTGTCCTTAAGTCTTTTTGTACCATTAAAAAGTTTCCTGTTGAGCTTGGCGTTTTCTCTTTTTGCTTTTTCCGTAAATATTCTAGTACCTTAACGTAGTACTGTGCAGCAGTTGATGTGTCACTTGTGTTGCTTTGGAGAGAAGAAAGTCTGGATTAACATTTTTTAGAAAGGAAAGCTGTGTTAAGTTTATAAGGAAATTAAAATAGCCTGGTGCTAGGCAAAGTTGTCGGTTCACTGTATGTAATCTCAATTTGTAGGTCCTTGTAGTAATCTGCCTCCATAGGCAAGTCTTTCAGCATCCCATTTTTGAATCCTGCAAAATGTTTCTGCTCCCCCTCCTCACCAGTAAAATTGCACTAAGTAAATGCATTAGTGTTGATGGAGTGTCAGGCTTGGGAATAGAACCACCTTTAATTATCTAGTATATTAGTCCAATTGTGTAATGTATTGCATTCTTTTGTGATTTTCCATTTTCCTTTCAAAATTGTGGATAAGTGACATTATCTATTAAAATAAGTTCCACGTGGGTTAAAAATTAAAATGCAACAGGTTTGTGATTGAACCCAGGAGTAAAGCGACATGTTTCCTCAGATTAGCAGTGTGCTCCACAGTTCATATTTTACTTCCTGATTCGGTTGTTCCATATGTGGTCATCAGCCTCTTGGTTTTATACAGCATTTATGCTGTATTATTTATTTATTTGTTGGCAGCTGGCCAGTAAGGGGATCTGAACCCTTGACTTTGGTGTTATCGGCACCAGGCTCTCCCAAGTGAGCCACTGGCCAGCCCCTATGCTGTTTTAATGAAATAGGCCTTGTCCACACAGTTCCTATTCTTTGAGATTCCTGTGTTTCAGGAATCATACTTTGTTTTTATTAGAAAACTAAATCTACGTAGAGAATAAATTGAAGATGGATTGATACCTCAAGGTAACCCAAAGGACCTACTTATTTAAATTCGTAGTATGAGGAAGATTACAACAGGAATGTTTGCACACATAAGAAAATAGTGCTTTTTAAGAGTAGTTATAAGGGCCGAGTCCGTGGCGCACTCGGGAGAGTGCGGTGCTGGGAGCCCGGCGGCACTTCCGCCACGGGTTCGGATCCTATATAGGGATGACCGGTGCGTTCACAGCGCTCACTGGCTGAGCGCGGTGCGGCCGGTCTCAAAAAGGACAAAAAAGGGCGGGCCCGGTGGCGCACTGCTACAGTGCGCCACCTGAGAGCGCGGTGGCGCTCCCGCCGAGGGTTCGGATCCCACATACAGACCGGTTCCGCTCACTGGCTGAGCGAGGTGGGGGCGCAACACAGAAGGGTTGCGATCTGTTGCCGGACACGAAAAAAGACAAAAAAAGGACAAAAAAGGACAAAAAAAAAAAAGTAGTTATAAAAGTCATCCTTAGGAGGGGCTGGCTGATTACCTCAGTTGGTTACAGCAAGGTACTGATAATGCCCGGATCCAGGGTTCAATTCCTGTATCGGCCAGCCACACACACACACACACACACAAATGCCAGTTATCCGTAGGGATCCATTCCACCTACGTAAGAAAATTTAGGAGGTGTGAAGTTATCCTTAAAAGTTGCACTCAAATTCTAAGAGCCTTAGAATTTTGTTTTAAGGGACACATAAAAATGAGGGTACTTACCTGGGACTTCTCTGAGTGGCTTGGCGAGTTCCTTGGCAGAGGCCATCTGTGGCTGACGAAGATGCTGGGGAGGAGTTCTATGGCAGAGCCTTGCACGGTGGTGCCTGCTGGCAAAACTTCACCTCTAGAGACATATTTTGCTTCCGTATGCTGCTGGCATCACAACTACCCCACATCATGTACTTTATAGACTTTGTCTCTCTCTCTTTTTTTTTTTTTTAATCACAAGCCTCACTTGACCATCTATCTACCTTATTTACCTGTCTTTGCTCCAGATGATTTTAGGCTGCTTTGTCAAGAATTAGGTCTCTCTTCAAACAATTACTATTTGTCAT